AATAATAATGTGTTTTATTTAATATTTCATGGATTCGTTAAGTATTTAGAAACATATCGATATTAAGTTAGAATAATTTTTACAATGTATTCTAAAAAATATTATTTACCTAAGTACTAATATAATGACATGTTTGACAAATAGAAAAAAATATAATACTTTCAATAAATCTTACCATGTAAGTCACTCCTACTCCAGGAAGCAACAATACAATCATATTGATTCCGTCGACCAAAGGCGGGCCGTATCTAGTTGCCATTCGGCTGTTGTCATGGTTACCAACCTGTGAAAGATTGCTTTCTATTTAATCTTATTTCTTCCTCTGAATTCCAGTAAATTTTACTAAGTACTTACCACCCAATTAGCGCCTTTATCAACAGGTTTGTAAGTTAAGAATTTGTCGATAGTGTATTTTATGTCGGCAGCGGAGGATGAGGCATCGACGTCGGTGATTAGATCAAAGTTGAAAGGCATTTGAGCTCCTTCCTTGTCTCCTTCGCCAAAGTACCTTACCACGTTTTGAATAGTAGCGTATACTTCAGTCATCATGACTCTAGTTAGACCATCCTTTTCTTTGAACTCATCGAACACATCTCTCCATTCGTAAACCATGTAGTACGTTTCTTCACGATCTTTAGTGTAAATATGGTTTAAGTAGTCATGGGATTCAGGGTCAGCGTTGAGATTTCCAGAAAGTGGTTCGTCTGGGTATTTGCCCCCAAAAAGTTCTTTGTCTGCCTCGTAAAGACAGTTGACTGCATCCACTCTGAATCCCGCTACTCCTTTGCCTAGCCAAAAACGGATGATGTTCTGAAAATTATTAAACATTTTTAACTTAAGTAATTCATTTTTGTAATAATTTGGATTATTCAAATTTTTATTGATTCTTATTTGGTTGGTACCTTCATTTCCTCAACTACTTCAGGATTACGGTAGTTCAAGTCAGGTTGACCGACAGCAAATTGATGCAAATAATATTTGCCAACCTCTTCTTTGTATTCCCAAGCACTACCACGGAAATGGCTCAACTAGAAACAATAAAAATAATAATTTTCCTAACATTGCTAGTGTTGAAAATTGTAGGTAAGTTGACGAAATTATATTTGTTAGTAAGAGCCGAAGAGATTAACACTATCCTTTACCGGCCTCAAAATAAAATCTAATTCAACATCTCATAACGATTTATATTTATGAGTATGAAACGGTGTGCACTTAATAAAACAGAAACACCGCTCAACCATCACTCAAAACGGAATATGAAATTTAAACCATGGAAGAACAATTCGCAATAAAAGAGCACTCAATAAAGTTTCCTCATTACAATCATTAAGTCCACAGAGAAGTAATCTTACCGCGTTTCATTGTGCGAAAACTCTTACCCAATTATTTGGCGGCTGCCTGTTACCGTTCTCATCGATCACTCCATCTTCCCAGACAAAGTAATTGTAATACTTTTCGTTGCCATTTAGAGCTTCTTGGAACCAGACGCTCTCGTTAGATGTGTGATTTGGCACCAAATCCAAAACTACCTTAATGCCTGTTAAGAATATAATCTGAATAAAAATTCATTCTTTTTTTACACCTTCAGACTAGTTAAGAAACTTTTTGGAATATTTTCACAGCAAACTTTTGGAATCTTTATTGCAACAACTTTAATAGAGACTCTTGTAACTTCGTCAAGATTCTATTCAGTCTTATTCTTCACAGTAAGGTGCTAATTTAAACTATTATTATTAAACTTTTTTGTTTCTTTTAAACTTTTCTTAGTAATTATTACAAGTTGTTCTTCTTTTTTCATTTTCACTGAAAAATTCATTTCGAAATTTAATCAAACAAGTTTAGTGATACTTACCGAGTTCGTTAGCTTTATCCATTAAAGCGTCAAAATCTTCCATTGTTCCATACTCGTCGTGGATGGCGTAAAAATCAGCAATATCGTATCCGAAATCATACATAGGTGATTGGAACATTGGTGACATCCAAATTGCTCCAACACCTAGGCTCTTGATATATTCCAGTTTTGATGTTATACCTGTCAGACAGTGAAATGAGATAAAATTCAAATTTGAATAATAATCGTCCCTGTTGTAAACATAATTACGTGATATTCCCACGGTAGCAATTTGTCAACGCTCTGAATTCTAGTTTTCAGTAGTGAAATGTAAGCTATGTGATTGGCTCGGGAAATGGGACTAGTTTGTGTTATTAATATTAGCATAGAATTAACGGATATTTATGAAATTAGAGTGACAACATAAAGCAATGGATGAACCTCATCAATTAACTATATAATTACAATTTGTGAAAATATTAATTTTATTTTCGAAGTAAAAAAAATAGTTATTAACGCTCAAAACTTAAAACCTACCGTTTAAGTCTCCGATTCCATCTCCATCGCTATCAAGGAAAGAACGAGGGTAGATCTGATAGAAGATCGTAGTCTCCCACCAGTCCTGGTCATTCTCTTCATGTTTTAAAACATTACCACTACACAGAACCAAGAAAAGCGACAGAAATATTACTCCCTTCATTTTACTGCCTAATCAACACAGTGTATAATGAAAAATCTGCCACCCGGCTTAGGTAATACATAGATTTTATAGAGTATTCTTTATCTATTATCGAAATAACATACAGAGGGGCTGATAAAATATGTACTTTTAGAGATTAAACTGACAAACAAGTTCAGAAAATATTGTATCTTGAGTAATCGATATCGGCTATGCAACCGGAGATAAAGTTTCAGACAATCTATGAGAATAAAGCATTTTTGTAGTGACGAGAAAACTGCTGCATCATTTTTTGAAATAGTTATGTAAAGTAGTACCACATTACTTTCAACTAATAACACTTAGCAACTGCCAAGAAAACTTTGTAACAATCGAAAATTTTAACTTAATTAACACATTGGAATCTCATTTATCGTCCTTCTTCTGATGCCCAATATCCAAACCCCCACTTCTGACCCCTGTGATTTGTGGACATTATACAACCCATTACATATGGGTGGCGCTGATTGCTAACCTTTAGGGGATATATCTGCCCACTTGCCGCCCTACCCCATAAAGAAAGAGCCTGCTCATCGTCATAAAAACTTAAAAAACTGAAATCTCATACTTAAAAGTCACACGACCTTCAAGGTCATAGCACTAGCAAATCATATTCATCCACCTGTGATCACATTGACAGATAAAACTCACTTTTCACTCCGATATCTTTCGGTGGCAGATCCGGATCTATCAATATTTTGGAAAACAATTCTATATATGGTAAATCCGAGATAATTTTCAAGTGCAGAGCCAAAACTCGGTGGAGGCGATAAAAGTGCTCATCTTGATAATTCATGCTAGACGCACACTCCTGCAGGTCTGAATTATCAACAAAAAATATGATAAGTATGGATGCTCTAGATTCTATATCACATTAATCTCAATGTAAATCCAATGTCACGCTCAAGACTCGTGAAGACTGAATATTAGATTATAAATTGTGTTTGGATTATCTTGATGAAAATGTTCTAGTTAATACTTAACCATGAGAATAACGCGTATTATGCATATTTTAGGATGATGAAAATTGCTGATAATTTTATACAAAAAGGGTGCAGAAAAGTTACTAGATTTCATTTATTTATATCCTTTCAATGACCAAATACTGTAATTACATTATTTTTGTTAAATTTGAAGACGAATGTATTAATTAATTTATGTTTTCGGCTTACTCATGTAACAATTTGACGAGACTACTCGACTAGTTTCAAGCCATGCTAGAGGACCAAGACCGAGGCGCGTGTCGCGGAATGCTACTCATGAATATGGGCCTCTAGCATGGCTTGAAACTAGTCGAGTATCTGAGTGAACCGAAAACAAAATAATTAATATAGAATGTCTCACGAAAGTTATAATAAAAAAAACGAATATATTACTTGAGTGCTTTATTACGATTAGAACTAATATGAATAAAATAACATAGTATGCCAGACAAAATCTTTTTTCGAAGAAGGTCTAGAAATAATCCAATTGAGACCAAATACCGACTACTATCTCGTAACGTAGCACTTTCTACAATGATTGCCAATCAAATATAGATTTGATTTGATGTCTGCTATTGCTATTATTTCTGCACGAGTGCTCCCATCATGCAAAATGCTCTAACTATTGGTGTCTTTGAATAGATTCCGAATTTTACTATGTATGAGAATCAATAGTTAGAATCATTTATTTGTTCGAAAAGATGTTCCCTTGAGTATCTTATCGGGCCAATGGGCACGAACTGGCTTATTGAATAAGCGTTGTTTGTATTCAGGTGTGAATAAAACTTGTTCTATTGTCTTCATCACATTTTCTGAAAGGACATTGTCCATTGTGATTAGTTTTGTACAATAACTGTCGTGGGATGTACTATATTTATTTAAGTATATAACTAACGATTTACTCTCCTGAATGTACTGGAAAGCCCAAACGCCGACTAAGATGGCTGCGTGACGTCGCCCCAACGCGCATGCTACTCATGAAAGGCGCGCGTGCTACTAATGATGTGACTTGAATTTAGTGGAGATGTTTTCCAGTTAATTATTATTTTATTTATAACTAGCTACTCTCGCGCGGTTTCACCGCTGCTCCATTTAGTCGTAGCGTGATGTTTTATAGTCTAAAGCACTCAGGAACATTGTAGCTATCTGTCAGTGAAAAAATTTTGGAAATCCGAACATCGGTTCCAAAGATTGCCCCCTACATACAAACTTACAAATTTTACCTCTTTATAATATAAGTTTAGATTTTATCCCAATCTACTAATCACCTGGCTCATTTTATTTGTTCTTAGTGTAGGGTACATATTAAAGTACAGTAAAAAACAAACATAGTCACAAATTAATTTATTATAGTCTATCACATTTTAGTTTTTTTTTATAATAAACTGCAAACAAAACAAACAATTAATAACTTAGTAGAATACATAAACCAATATCTATTTTATATAAATAAAATATGTATCTATAAATCACGCAGTAACTTAAACCTGCATCCTGAGTACCAGAGCTTCATCAGCTGCTAAATCCAAGTAGTTAGCTTGCACGGTATCACTGTAAATAAAACAAAAAAGATATACTATACTTTTTCCTTTTTTTAAGCGTGGAATACAAAGCAAGCTATATACGAACAAAACTCAATTTGATTTTGTGCTTAGAAGCCTGACAGACATGTAGAATTTAGTAAATAAGAAGTTAAGAAATATGTTAAAGCGTTATTTATATATTTGTCTGTAAATTGCACACACACACAATTATTCAGCGTTTTACATATATAGTATATCCTTTGTTGCTAAGGTTCGTACCATGAGCCACTATAGCGTAAGCAAGAATTTTTTTATTTGGAATGTGCCGTCATTTTTGTTGCCACTATCGCGATGCTGCAGACTGTGATGAGGCACACCATGCCACACTGTAAGCAAGCTATTCGATTCGAGGTACACAGACTCTGGCAAAAATTCCACTGCTTAGCGGCCTGATGATAAAAGGGGAGACGAATCGTTTCTTTTGAATAACAAGCGAAATGCATTTCATGTTATATTACATTTGTCACCAATAACTTATGTAATTTTAAATAACCAATGCCTTCGCTCGCATTTCCGATAAAAACTAAGTGGAAGTCCCATGTGCTATTTTTTGGACAGAGACCTATCTCTGCACCAAATTTTAATCAAATCTATTCAGTAGTTTCTGGCTAAAAGAGCAATTAACACACACGCGACAAACTTTTACATTTATATTAGTAGGTTCATAAACTCACCTGAAGGTTCTAGAGGAGAGAACACTACTAGCTTCAACCTCTAGCTGACCAAAAATCAAATCGAAGGCAGTCAGATTGACCACGTGGTAAACTTTTCCAACATTCATAACGACCACATAGGTATCATCGTTGTACCATCTGAAATAAAATAGACATTTTTAAAAAGAATATTTTCAATTTTATGGAGTTTAAAAACTCAAACTCATTGAATTTTTATTTAAAACTACGTTAAAGTTAGTTTTAAATAAGCATTTAAAGTACATGTTTTCTAGCAGTTTGAAGAAAGTCGATGAAATTCGATACATGTTTTAATGCATACATTTAGCATTCTAGTCATAGAATAACTTAAAAAAATAATACGTATTCTTTTCAACTTAGAATAGTCGGAAAAATGTCTAGATAGATTATTGACGGACTTACCTAATACTACGAAATATAATAAAAAAACTTTAGAGTTAGATATGGATTTATGATAGTGATAAAGTTCCAGGTTAGTTCAAAAGAAAAAAAAACATTATGCTAGTGGTTTGTCAACTACTGAGATTCGTTTTGTTTAAATGTTTAATATGTGAATGCTTTATTTTGAACAAAACTCGTAAATAACAATTTTAATACATTTTAAGATCTTTTAGTAGTAGTAGTTTTTAGTTTAGTAGTAGTTTTTTAGTACTAGTACAAAAAAATTTAACATGCAGTGCTCATGTTAAAATGGGATTTGATGATTGATCGGATGAGCAGAAAGGGAAAACATAAAGATAGGGTAGCTCGCAGTAATATAATATACAACATCTAAAGTTTACTACGCACCTCTTAAATGCATACACGTCGCTATTCAGTGTCATAGACTCAAATCTGCCGAGTCTAAATGCTGGTCGTAAGCGCAGATTGGTCAGGGTACGATAAACTTGGTAGTGAGAACGAACTGCCGATCTCTGAACGGCTACATTCAACTGCTCAAAACCTTCGGCAACAGGCAGCCACGTCGTATCAGCTGTCGAAAATCCTAGCACAAACAAAACAAAAAAGTAGTATTGAAAAAAGTATGGTGCATTCAAAACCTGTAAAATAACATGTGGCTTTCAAATATTCATATTTATTAAGTATTGGAGGGTCAACGTCAGTCATTGTAATTCCAAAATGAATTATCACTGAAAAATGTAGGAATACATTGTGTTCCAATAAACCAAATAAATTATTTTATTCTTTAATACACCTTTTTGAAAAAGGGTTTCAATGACGTTAATTCAAAAGGATTAAATAATTTAAATTTGAAATAGGATAATGTACATTCATAAGCCGATTGACTTAGGTTTTACTTTAGCGAATAACCTTCAGGGTATCTTTCTAAGTGTTTGTAAATCCTAAAAACTGTATGTGAAGAAGATAAGTCAAACATAATCGTGTTTCAAAGCATTTTGAGACTTAAGTTCGAAATTTTATTACATCATAGAGTTCAAAGTAAAACTGTGTCCAATTTCTATACAGCTGTCGTTTGACTTCAACATAATGCTGGGTTAAAATCAACAAAAGCCAGTAAATGGTGGAATGAATAGGTTCTTTTGGAGTGTTGATGAACATCAGTAGACCTTTTCATATAATATTTAAGGTACATTTCCTTTTTTGTCCTCAGTTGACCTCGGCATTATTCATGTGGAAATGTGAAATAGGTATTCAAAAGGTTGGGTACCTGCGTGTTTTCCGCTGCTCCACTGGAACGGGGTCCTGACGGGGTCGCGGGACACTTCGATGAAATTAACAGGGTCGTCCGTATTGCAGGCTTGAGGATCCTTCGTTTCGCTCCACGGCACGAATCCATTTACCATTCCTATTTCTTCGCCCTTTAATATTTATACGTCATTTGCATAAGCGTTTACAAAATGTAGATTAATAAATAAATGTATAAATTCATAGCATAATGTCTGGTCGTCCCCAGACGATCATTAGATGGAGACCTAATTATTTTTCAGTAGGTAGTAATAGCATTCCTAATTTAGTAAGACACTAGACTTACTGAGGATTTACGACTTTACTTTACTTTGTAAATGATTTATTAAGACGTGTAGACTTAGTAGTACAGTTGGCTTAGTTATTTTACATCATCCTGCTAAGGATCAGCAGAGCTCACAGGGAACTTAATTATTGCTACTCTAAGCAATCTCCTGCTTGGTAGTCTTGTTTGTAACCATTAAAAAGTGTTAACCAGTTAAAAAGTGCCCACACAAACGCCTGCGCTAAAATATTATTATGGAAACAGATGTTAAAGTTGGAACGCTGTCGATCCTAAGCAATATAGGACAAAAAAGGTCCAAAGATCAATACTAAAACAAAGCGGATGCTTTTCGTAATATTTGCCACGAATATATAATTACCTATTTGCATAAATTTATTCCGTTTATTTCACGAAGTATGCCTCGTATGCGTAATGAATATTCTTTATCGTAAACCAATACTTTACCCAACAGTTAAGTAATTACCATGTAAGTGATAGCGATCCCAGGCAGCAAAAGAACAAGCATGTTGAAGGCATCCACCAGTTCAGGCCTGAATCTCGATGCTACTCTGCTCTTGTCATTATTTCCAGTCTGCAAGAAGAATTAATAGGCATTACATAATTATTGAAATCCAACCACTCAAATGAACAAGAAATCAAAGAGATACTAATCCACATGTATGTTTTGGCTGGTAGGTATGTTTCAAGACATTTCGTACGTCATATGGATAATTCCAAGTATGTTTTCATTTTCTTAACTCATTCATCATTCGTAACACCAGCAGAATACTACATTATACCTTAATACAGACCTTCCCATTATAGAATCACATTATCACTTGACACACAACTCGATTCCCAAGGCGCTCGATTCGCAACAACATCGATCATAATAATTACCTAATCATATTTCAAGAATAGAAAGTAAGATCTTTTTCAAAATAGCCACGCTCACCATGTTTGCTAAAGAAACCAAATCCTTAGATTCCCTAAGGCTAACAGATATCAGTAAGGCTGTGTATATCGAAAGGCTATATTTGGTTGACCTTGTTTTATTTGTTGACATGTAGCAATTAATGTTCGGTGTGGTAACTTTCCCCATCGGGCAAACGCGAACGAAAAATTAGACACCGCCGGAGCCTGGAGGCGGTTTGATGAAGTTAACAAAGTTGTTAAATGTGTCAATTTGTAAGTACGCCTTATAAAGGATCCACTTTAGGTGTTTCTACATAATTTCGCTGATGCTAAAATTACTTTTGGTGTTAAAGTTACTTTTACATCTGAAAGGCTTTTAAATTATCAGAGTACGACTTGAGACACTTAAAATTAGACTATCCCACTATCCATCAACCATCCTACTCGTGATAATAATTATAAATCTCAGAATAACAAATGAAAAAGTATTGCGAAAAGGTTTTACTAAAGAATTGCGTTTTTGTTCCAACGTTCCATGATCGAGTGCAGAAGAGGGACATAAAAATTGCACTTACCACCCAGTTGGCTTGTTTCTTCAAAGGTTTGTACGTAAGCCATCTATCAACCGCGTACTTAATGTCCCTGGCGTCCGAGTCTTTGTCTAGATCCGCGATGAGAGCGAAATTGAATGGAATATGAGCGCCAGTATGAATGCCTTCACCGTAGTACCTCACTGCATTTTTGATATTCGTATTCGCCTCCGTCATCATTACCCTGAAAAGATTGTTTTGTTGAGATTTTATTTATAAAAGATGATTGCCTTGGTATATTGAATATATATAATATAGTGAAACAAACAATTCATTATAGTTTACTTGAGTACCAAAGCAGTATATTGCTGTTGCTATTAATTTGATATGGAAAAAACCTCATCTCTAATTCGATGTACCATCAGCTTATTTTCAGTATTTTTTTATTATTTACGTAATTGTTAGGTATTTGGCTGCGATTTCGCTTGCTAAGCGATTATTCGTATAATCATAAACAGCCTATTCTCTCTATTCCCGACCTGACTTCGACGAAGGGTTATCCAATAAAATAGATATTTCCTCAGCTGTAAAGTTAATTATTGACCCAAATGTATTTTCAGGAAAAACTATGTAAATAAATAAGCAATACCGAAGCTGATATAATTATGAACAAAAAATTATTTTTGTACCACAATTCCACAGCCGATGATGTGCGCACGTCGTCCAGAGTACGCAATGTTCGCCCATAAATTTATTAGCGCAAACATAAATTTTCGTCGAATCCAACAAACAAAACGATTTTTACTACACAGCTTTTAGGTAACGTATTTCAAAGAGATTTAATTTATAGATAGTTCATCATATTATACCAAAAAATAAAAATTTCTGGTTACTTTCACCAGTTTTCATCAGTGTACGTCATTCCAAAAATGTAAATCGACAAGGTTTTCATCTCGGTGAAAATTGAAATTTGGATCATCATGAGAATTCTTCTTCGTTTTAATATTCATGAAAGTTACTTTTTTGGTTATTTTTTTAACTGCCATATTCATTTGCACGTCAGCAATGAATTTCTCGGGAACAAAATTTGTATAATATATTTATCAGTTCTTTTTTATAATTGAATACACTTAACTCCTTTTTTATATGACTGTTCTATCTTTAAATGGGACTACCCATCTTACGATCTATCTACCTTCAGCGGTTGTAAAGCTTATATTTCAAAATAAATCCTAAAAATCACGTTAAACTAAGAGGGTTTGAATAAAAAAAATTAAGTTTTTTTATGTAATTGGTCGGCAAACGAGCCAGACGGAGTACCTGATGGTAAGCAATCATCGCCGCCCATGGACACCTGCAACGGAGGAGTTACGAGTGCGTTGCCGACCTTTTAGGGATTAGGGATTTGGAGATTTAAGGATTGAGGAGGGATTGGGGGCGGGGAAGGATTGGGCCTCCGGTAACCTCACTCACACGGAGAAACACCACGCTGTGGTTGTCTCACGCCGGTCTTCTGCTTTTTAAAATAAAAAATACTGCTTTCCTTACCTAGTTAAATTATCTCTGATAGTGATAGCATCAAACACATCTCGAAGTTGAGACACCATGTCATAAGTCTCCTCTTGATCTCTTGTGTAAATATGGTCTAAGAACCCATAGTCGTCTGGACCCAATCCTGGTTTACCGGTATTTGGCTCATTGGGGTATCTTCCACCATAAACATCTTTGTCGACTTCGAAGAACAGATTGACAGAATTCACTCTCATTCCAGCGACTCCTTTTTCTAGCCAGAATTTTATTATGTTCTGTAAATAAGACGTTTTAATTAAATTCCATAGTCATAAAAAATAATTACCTATTAAATAACTGGTATCGTTATATGTATTTGATAAAGGAAAAAACAACAATTATCGTAAGAAATACTTATTTATTTAAATAATATGGCTAGTATTAGTAGTATTATTCGAGTAAAGTTTGCGAATTGATAAGATACGACAAAAAGTCACTACCTCGGAAACAGCATGAGTCTGGTCTTAAGCTTGAAACTAATCGAGCACAAAGGCTTGTTACGTACAGCCCGTATTGTCTAACTATAAACAATAAATGTAACAGTAATATAGCTGTTAAATCAGCCAGGGCTGCTGGTGTAAGTGCAATGATGTACCATGTATGTGGTTCAGAGCAGGAAAAAGAAAATATTTTTCTAGTTAGAGAGAGTCTGACACTCCTTCCCGACCCACCCAGGCCAGGAGAAGTCATTAGATGATTTTAACATTCCCAATCAAAAAATAAGTATAAATAAGTAGAATAATGATGAAAACCCAAATTGCTAATCCGAAAATATCCTGTACTCAAACAGCATCAACAACAAACCACAAACAGAACCGAAAAGCTAATCTTAGAGTTCGCAACTTGTTTATTTCATCAGATAAACATAATATTATTTATTCAGTGTACAAAGCTTTTTCAAATTCGAAGGCCGTGAACTAGGAGAACATTTATCTTCATTACACGTAGCGGAGTCACAAAATAAGTAATGTTATTTACAAATCTGATTCTTTATTTAGATAATGTACGTAGTAACTATTTGTTTATAGTGTTGCCTTCTGAATTAACAAAACAAATGAAAACAGTAACCAAACTCTTCAACCGAACGGTTCAAGTGAATAAATAAGTTCAACGTCTAATTTGTGAATTGATTTTGAAAATAAACTTCTGTTAAGAACTTATTATTATTCGGTTTGGTATGGAAATATTTTATTTTACAAATGATGAATAAAATTTAGGTCCGTTTAAGATACATTCTTTGCCTTTTAAGTAGCATTATATTAAAAAATGTATGTCAATTAATTATCATGATCGAACTTACCTTCATCTCTTCAACAACAACGGGGTTTCTGAAGTTGAAATCAGGCTGACTGCTACCAAACTGATGAAAGTAATATTGATCACGAGACGGCATGTAAGTCCAAGCGCTTTTTCTGAACAAACTGATCTGAAATGTATTATAAACCAATGTTTTACCATTATACATATCAGAAACACGACTAAAGTAGATTAACCAGAGTGAATGCTCAATAATAGCAACAATTATACTTTATGGTTTTGATTCAGACGAAATCACTCCAGATTTGGGCTAGCAAAAATAAAATATTATACTTCTGATTGTCGCTTATAACAAGGTTGAATGAAATTTCATAAAATAAAGGAAATTATCCAAAACTTACCCAATTATTCGGCGGGCTCCTCTGACCATGCTCATTTAAGTGACCATTCTCCCAAATATACCAGTCACTATAATATTCGTCCCTGTTCGATGACTTTATAAACCAATCGCTCTCGTTACTGGAGTGGTTTGGTACAAAATCCAGAATCACTTTTATGTCTGTAACAACCGATTGGCAATGAGATCAGCAAAAGCCTTTACTAGGAAATCATTAATGAAACAACAAAATTTGAATTAAAAATTGCTAATATAAATGTTTTAAGTAGCAAAGTAATATGGTTAATGGAAAGTATCCATATTATGAATCGGTAATTAATCAATTCAAAATTTATATTCAGTAGGCAACTGAATATTCCATCTCGAAGACTTAAAATATGTTGTTTTATTTATCAGTTTCTAAATAATAATTCTGCTATATTCCAATATTTTTCTTCATCATCTAGAGTACCTATCGGGAAAACATTTGAATTGGTTGGATCCCCGCGAACCCATTTCAATTTCGACACTTAAGACAAAAATCAACAGTATATAACGGCCTCAAACTACTATTGTTATAACCACTCCCAACCTACTCGAACCATCCAATCAGAAATGATTACAATCGAGGAAAAACAACACCAGAATAAATTGTTCAAATTATACAAACAGGCAGGCCCTTTCGAATGTAAATTGTAAAGGAAAATCTTATTAAGAAAGTTCAAATAACCAATACGACGTGCTATCGAATTTCGGTAACGAGAATTTCGATAATTCGTTTGCCGGTTATGCATAGACAACAAGATTTTTTTGTTCTCTTTTAAAAATAGCTTTTCCCCATACAAGAACTTTCTACAAACATATCATTTCATACACAAATCTACACTTACTCAGTTCGCCTGCTTTTTTGAGAAGTTGTTCGAAGTCTTCCATAGTTCCATACTCAGGTTGAATTGAATAATAATCTGATACGTCGTAACCAAAGTCGTACATCGGAGATTTGAAGATAGGCGACAGCAATGTGGCGTCAACTCCCAATTCCTTGAGATATTCAAGTCTTGATGTAATTCCTGAAAACATTTGATATTACCATAAAAGATCACTATGTTTAAAAATGTCTGATAAGTTTTAAAACTCTTTATTACAATCTGCTTTATCCACTGAAACTTGGTGATTATAAAATAATCTCAAATTCGTAAAACGTAGAATATGTAAATAATAAACTTTTCTACACTCTGTATGCTATTTTGGTGCCAACCCTTTGACCTTGAAAGTGTTTGCCTACAAAAGTGAGACATTTTCACGAAAAATCCCCACTTAGTCCGTACGTAAAGAAAAAGCGATAATTTTATCTGAACCCTATTTTCACTTGACCTGTATGCGTGCTTCAAGCCTGGTCTAGATAAGAGCTGAGAGTGTCAGGTAAATTAATGGACTCTGATGGTGTAAAGTGATAAAGAGACACAGTAAGCCGCGGTATTTTGGTGTTTATTTAGTAACAAATTGTCACAAACCCTTGCTCGACAAAACTTAAGTATAGTATTCAATAGAGCGTACGTAGTAAGAACAAAATGAGCAATTTTGGAAAAAGCGTTTTAGATTATTTAGGTATCGACCCAGATATTAAAATCATACATGAAGTTTAGTCATCTAACTCTGATTTCTCATTTAACTCTTATTTACACTTGATACAGATGTTTCTTACCATTTAAGTCTCCCACACCATCTCCATCGCTGTCCATGAAGGATCTGGGGTATATCTGATAAAAAACAGCAGTTTCCCACCAATCCTGCTTAATGTTCACATTTTCATATCTTCCATCAGTCGTCTTAGCTAATAATACTATAGAACTGAAGAGAAATATCTGCCACATCGCTAAAAACAATAACAGAATTTTCATTGTAAGATTGACTTTATTATAAAAAGGCAAAAATACGATTTCATATTTCTAAGTGATAATTAAGTTACACGCCAAAAATAATATAATTTTGTTAAACTCGAAACAAATGAGTTAGAATAATTACCTATCCAGCACTTCAAGGAAAAGTGACGAGAAAAGAAAAAAAGTGGAGAGAAGTTTAGAAGTTTTTCAATTATATTAAAACATTGCCTTAAAATAAAAATGTTCAAAGCACTGATAGAGACCGACAGTGAAGACGCTAATGAAATTTAATCGACAAGACTTCTAAAGACAGCTTCGTTTATAAAACACGAAACATTGTTTCTGATTCTAACATAATATTTCGATTCGACTAAGACAAAACTAAAAACGTAATTACAAACAATGTTATGGAAATGAGTCTGGTTACATTATACAACGAAAACATGAGTTGTGAGACTATTGAACCATTTGGTAATCCAAATCAATTATGATACAAATTATGCTGTCAGTAGATACAAACAGACTGATCAAAATGATTCCAATTTTTCGTCCCGTCATAAAAAGATCCTCAAAGGATTCTATGGTATCATATTAACATATAAAGGTAGATAAACTAAACAAAATTTTAAAAGCTTAGTGAATGCATAATGAGCTCGAATATCATAAATAGTTTACAAAAGGTAACAGTGAATCTAAAATGCTTGCACTAAACGAAGAGAAAGCTGAAACGTTCGCGGATAACAGAATTAATTAATAGCTGACAGGCGGAAAACGCGCCTGGGTTGTGGTTAGACACAGAGTAACAAAGTGAAATTTAATAAACACTGGAAAATTGTATGCTCGCTGAATACGTTGCGGTATTTACATTGAAATGTTAAAATTCAACTTCTTCGCACTACTGCTTCATATTAATTTTAAATAGCTGACTTAATTAATTTTTAACTATAAAATGTTGAAAAATATTAACCAATTCACGAATTCTTAGTATTGATGTGTAAAATCTTAATGTTTGATGACGATGATGATGATGATAAAGATCACTAAGCTAATAGCCGTAATTAGGTATGTTAACAACTTAAGCTTGTAGTGGTTAAAAATAAAATAAAGCAGGGCATTTACCTTAAAATCACTTAAAGACAAGCTAAGTAAATCACACACATACGGTCTTACAATATATGTTTTTGAACGAATTTAAATAAAAAATAGAAACAATTTTAGAATAAATCCTAAATAAAATCTACTAATACAAATATTTCTAAAACCCTTGGAAGACTGAGAGGTGAGAGGTGAAGATCTGTATTTATATTCAATTGGATGCATTCTATTGGTCTGTTTAAAAATATTTTACTAATTGTGTCCAGATTCGATTGTCATGCTTATCTATTTCATTTGTTTCAAAAACAAAGATCTTTTCTCACGTTATGATGTCAGCTTATTCAGTCTTGATATCACTTTTACTCATAACTGCATCATCCAACATATCATTGGTAACCGCGGCTGATACTTTTGCTGTTATCTCGAAATTTTCGTTTTATTTGGATGTTTGTTCTTCTACATCATTTCTAATATCAAGATAATCAGTATTAGGTTTCTGTTGTGTGTTTCCTTAATTCTAAAAAAAACGTTTTCTTTTACAGGTAAGCAGTTAATACCATATGGTGTTTCGTAAGTAATCTTTAGTTAATGTGATTTATTACTGTGAATATTTAAGTTGATAAAATATTTTCATAAAAAAATAATTGGTCAGGATTCTAATATTCTTTTCGGCTTAAATTGACCCACAATTCAAGTTAGACTATGAGTTCGTTTGTAGATTACCTAATCTTGTCCAATGAGCCATTTACAATTCGCCGTTGGATGCATGTCGCTTCTAACAAGCCTATTTATTTCATATCAATGATTTTAATAGATATTACTTTAACACTTACTCTGTAAGTAAAAAACAAAGCCTTTAAAAAATCGCCCTCCATTATAAATCTAGGCCAGATTTGTTAATGCCTAAATTTACCCTAGTCTATAAATCCTGTTACCTCTAGACTACATTAATATTTTATGAGATCTCTTCTCTGATCTTCCTTTACAGATTAAGTTTACGCGTGACCCACAATTTTAATATTTCATGGGGAGCTTTGAAACAATTTTCTTTTCGAAGGAAAATTTTGTTGCCCTTTATTTTGCACTATGCTAGTTACATCTGTAGAATCAGTAAAAAATAATAGTCAAGGAAATTCTTACTATTAAACAATACTAAAACCTTGTTATTTATTTTCTACTAGTTATAATGTATTGACTTTGAGTCTTACTTTATTATCACATACATAGTTCTTTGCTCTTCGCTACGCTCAAATATCCAATCAAAATCACCCCAAAATTCACGTCGATGGAATTGAAAATTAATATCAAACAATTTTGATAACGTATCTAACTCGAGGCAATATTTCATCAACGTATTACGAAGGCTCTGTAGGATCACATTCTACGTCACCACGGCCGTCGAGTTTGAGACATATATCGTGTCTCGGTAACAATATGAAGGCTTTGAACCTTACCCCAATATTGCATCCATGGAATGCTTCGAGAAATTTCGTATGAACATCATAAAACTTTATACTCACCTAAGATATTTTTTAATAATATCAAGTTTTTGTTACGTTAATCTTCGAAGGGCAAACTATTCATATTACACATTCAAATAAAACAAGGTAATCCGTACGTCCCGCGTGAATTTTTGACGTGGTTACTGCTGAAACTCCGTACAAATTATTGTCTCATCTTTATCAACCTTTTTGGGGTTCAGTACCCAAAGATCGTCTCATGGGACGTTACTGCTAAGTCTACGCTGTCCTTCCGTCAGCTTGTCTCAAATTTCGGAGATTCGGCATTGAAAAACGACAATTTTATCACCTGTTTTATTTGGTGTATCTTTTGGAAAACGAATACAGTTATAGTATAAATTTGAAAATACTATGAGAAAATGATGGAAGAGGAAATATGTACTTAATACATAAACTCTTACTTGAAGCCATTTTATTTTTAGATATTTTTCTATAATGTCCATATAGGTATTTAAGATCTGATGTGGTCTAATAAGCATTTCTATCCCAATTCATGGTTAATTAGCCGTGCACAAAGTAACTCGATTATCTTATACGTGATGTGACCTCATTTTCAACAATGTCCTAATAATGACCACGAAAATTAATGAACTGCAAAAACTATGTAGTCTGCTATATAACGAAATTTGTACTCGTTTCTTGAATTCCTAAAAGGAAAATAGTTTTGCAGTTGATTGGATACTTTTAGAAAGGATTTTCATGATATTTTCTTAAAAAAATAAATAATGTATTAACAAATTATTATTCCAATACATTACCTTACTTACTGATAACACATTGGATTTGCAAAAAACATTTTCAATTTCCATCATTCCGTTAATTCGTACCATACAAACGTATTCCGACGCGTTCGATAAATTCTCGCCGCCGAACGAGGAAATTTTTGGCAATTCCGCGTATAAAATTTAATTTATCATTCCCTTTTGTACGATAAGAAAAATTCTCTTTCTTACCCCTCGGGCCGAATTCGATGGCGATCCTAGAAGGAATGTTCTATCATCGATAATATCAGGATAAAATAATAGATTGTTTTATGTTAGACCCCTTTTGTATTCTTAGGCCTTGGTCTTCGCAGGTCTACGAACGAATTGTATTAACCGAGTAATGTGTTTTGTGAGTCCTCAAGTAAACCTTTTTATGTTATTTCATAGATTATCTTGCGGATAAAATAGTAGATTTTAGTTAACGTACGTAAAATATTATTAAAATTTAGTAGATTTTAATTTTGAATATAAAAACGTGATTATTTTCAATATAAAAACCTTGTCTTTCCGATCCTTTTTACATGTAATACTTATAATAAACTTGCTTAAAGTTGGACAAAAGACAAACACTATTTTTTTGACTTTTCTAATCTCATGTAAATCCTGTATTTAATCATAATATCCGAAACACTTAGTTGTCGAAATCCTCTTCGCTAAAATCCTCTTGCAAATTAACATCGCCATTTCTTTTCACATAACAACGCGTTTCTAAGAACGGCCCGTCAACGCTACGCCGCCGCCGAGGGATGTTTACGGATTTTCAAGCCCTCATTAAGAGGACGTTTAGGGGATCTTTTGTTTTAACCCTCATGCCGCAGAAAGCAACAAAGATTTGCACTGAAACTCGAGATTCAATCTCGTTAAAGGTTCGTGAGAATTAGTTCCTTGGAAAGATTTTTTTATGGAAATATTGCGTTCATGCTTTTGTTTTTTGTGACCTTTTAATAGATTTTAAACGAAATGAAAAAGTAATACACTGCTTGTTTCTCTCATAAGTGTGTTCGTTCTATTTGAAAGTGAAAACCATGTTTACCATCGTGTAGCGTTTAGTGTTTCTTATTTCAGTAAACAAAGGCTATGTATAATATGCACTATAACAAGTCTCAAGAAGTATAGTACATTATATTATCTGTGACATAACTGTAATAGCCACATGAAAATATCACCATTATTCTTATTTCCCAAGCTCTCTAGCAAATCCCCGTCCTTCAAAGCAACTGCCAAAAATGTTTTCCAAGAAACAGCCGACGCAAGAAACGGAATTTTTAATGCGGAATTAAGAGAAAATGGTCCGCGTAATCAGAACCGCTTGGCAAGTTACTGAAGCTATTAACAGAAACAAGATACCACGTCGCTAAGTGCACTTCTGACGTAGACATTTGACGTCGACATCAGCGCCACATAATGCTCTCAAGGGAGCATTGAACGGGACTACCCAAAATAAAAATGGAGGCTCTAAGCGTGAGACAGTTTTTGGCAAACCTTTCGCATTATATTTTCACTTTAGTAATACATTTCGCCACTACTTTACTGTCTGACTATAAAAAATCACTTAACAAGTTATTTTTATGTTGTAAGGTTACTGCTGGCGTACTTGGCACGCCTAGAATATTC